CATATCGATTTCGATTTAACGCACTTGCGATCGTATCGTAGGAACCCCGGGGCAAATTTATAGAAGGTCGCATCCAAAGTGCTCGTTTAGTATCGAAAAGTCCCCGGAATTCCACCGGCGAGTGCCCATTTTGCGTCCATTTTCGTGAGCATTTTCATTTTTTCTTCGACGTCCTCTCCCGGAGACGCCGTCGATTTTTGGGGGGAGGTGAAGGTGTCGTTGGATGGCCCCGTCCTTCCTCTTTCGATCGCCGGTTTGACCTCTCGAATATCTCGACTATTCGCGAAATTATGAATTTTTTTGTAAAGGCGCGCGAAATTCGAAAAACAAAAAGCGCCCTCTACCGCCGAAACCGTAAATCTTTTATTAGATTTTTTTCTCGTTTTTGCAATCTCCGCGCCAAAACGCATAAGATGACGTCGAAAAAGCGACGATTTTAGACAATTTTTTTTCGATTTTTTCGAAGGAAGGGGATAGATAGTATGGAAATTTTTTCGTTTTTAATTTTTTCGCATAACTTTCGTAGTAGGGCTCGTATTTCGACGAAACCTTTTGTAACGTGTCCTTTGAGATATTTTACCTCTTGTATACCCCATCGCTTTACACACTGTATATACCAAGGAACCGAAGTGGGTGTTTTAATCTCGAGGGTGCAGATTGATGCCCGAAATGTAGTTGAGGATGTTTTTTGTACCTACTCCTGCTAATCAGCTACAGTAATTTCAATATTAAAAGTTCAAATTTGATAGAAAAAAAAATTGTTTGATGATTGTGTGACACTTTAGTCCCTTAAATGAATGACAAAACACGTGAATTTAGTTAACGGAGTACAAAAATACCATTATTTATAGATCCATGATTATACAACCCTTTCAATCGCATAAAAATCCATCTCTAAAATGTTTATAAATTGATTGTGACAGGTCGTTATTATTTGAAAGTTACCTAAATACTGTACAATATACACAGTATACTGATTCTGACCATGCTAGTGTAAACACCCGTGAATAAGTGCTCTGCAATTAAAGTAATTGAATTAATTGAATCGTTTAAGGTGGTCTAAGAAATTTGATCATGTAAGTACATTAGTTTTATCGGAATAGATTAGTCTCCAGGTGACAAGGTTAGTGATTACTATATCTCCGAATATATGCAAAATGAATATTTATCTCGTACACTTTTATTCCCAAACATCAATACACGGCATTTATTGGAGTTGACGTTTAATTATGTTGTTTAAATGCAGTAAATAATCGCTGCAAATCCATAGTAATACGTACTTTAGATTTACAATTCAATAAACAAAATACAAGGTAATTATTTAAACAAACTTAACTAATTATTCTGATACAAATCTAAATTAACTTCGAATTTGAATGACATAATAGGAATTGCGCCAATTTACAACTGAATTGCTCATCAAGTAGCATCCCTTCTCCAGGAAAGTAGTAATGTTAAGAGATGGTAGAGGGCTTTGAGCCATGATCCCGATTCGGTAGCCTGTAGAGCAAGGAACCGAGCAGAATCGAAGGGATCATCAAAATTAATGTCAACATCTTTCTTCGAATATTAATTTCGTTTCAACTTCTTTGAAATTGTGGGATATCAAGGCTAATTTTGATTTGTCGTATCCAAAATTGTTCATAATATCCATATCGTTATTTCCGGAACAGAAGCCACCATCATTTTTTCGTAATGCGTATAAGCTGACACCATAAAGTACTTCAAAGAAAATTACTCAAATCGGTAATGGAATTAAGAAATTTTATCCCTGCATTTCCATTAGAAAGTGAGGTTAGATCTTTCAAATGTTGGGGCATCAAACCATCAATTCTTCTGAAGAACCACTTGGGAAAGATGCTATAGCCTTTTTCACTTACATTACATCCACTGACAAATAAACAAAATCTGAGAAAGTTCCATAAATGAAAGTTCTCGTGATGGAGTCGGGTGTTAAGCACAAAGTTTATCAAAAGTATCATTAATTATTGGAGCCAGAGAGTATCATCAGAAGATAACATTTTTACAGTTCCCACGGATATCAAAATTAGCCACTTTAGCTTCAATTCGCTTTTTATTTCGTTTCGAATTTGTAGATGACACTCTTTATTTTTGGTTGTATTTGTATGACATTTTGTGCATTTTCGATTTGCAACGTTTTAAAGCGATTAAACCGAATTAAACCCATTTTATTTTTGCATATCTTGCATATTTTGATATTATTTGCATTCACATTATAAACTTGCATGCTTTGTACACTTATTTTAAGATGTATTTCAATTTTTGCTAGTTTTAATCGATATTAATTTAAATTTTTAATACATTTTTGCGGATTTTCATAACAAATGAGATCATGAAACATACTGTAATAGCCGGAAGGAAGATTTATCGATTTAATTGATGTTTAAATTCTTCATTTTCAAACTATTTTCTCTTTCTCTTTCTCTACGGTGTTGATAGGTGATAGTGTGGAAGGTTTGGCGATTGCTCCCAATATTTTCTAGTGCACCTATTACTTCCGTTGATGTAGAGAGAAGTTTCCCTGATTAGTGCTTATAAATTAATTCTTAGCGACAGGAGGCAATCATTTCTTGCAGAAAACGTAGAGAAGCATCTCTATTGCTAGTGTTTATCGTAATTCCCTTTTTATTAGAAATTATGCAAGATATATAATTTTGCATATGTTTGCATATACATAAAAACTGTTTGCATATTTTGCACTAATTCAATCAAAGAACACCAATTAAACTAGTATTTATTGCGTTTTAATGAATAACCCTTTTTGTTACCTAATTACGAGCACGTCACTGCAATTAGTAGCAATAATGCGTATTTGTTCAGTCATTCAATGTGCGAGGCAAGACTCTAACAAGTTAAAATGCAGTTCTTGGAATTCTTATTATTTGTCATCGTCACTGTACAAATGTGAAACGGGAATTATTCATTAAAAACAAAAGCTCTTAGAGCCCCAAAAATATAATAATAGAGAGTTGCTGTACATTGTTTATTGTAAGAATAGATTTAACGGTAGGCGGAGGTTCAAGTCTATGTAGGTATTGGGTCCGTAACATGGTGTATATGGAGCATGTTAGCAGGAAAGGATTTTTGATTTAGCAGATGCTACAGAAATGTTAAGATTTTGACAAAAGCTACTGGATTAGAAAGTTGTCATTGCGCAATCTGGATGCATCTGACTTTTACTGGGTACCTATATGCGATATGTTTGCCTTTACTAGAAGTGTCTGTGTTTAAAATGTCAACAAAATATATTAATAAATAAGAAAGTTGATATTGGGCAGCCTACCGAATTGAAAAATTTACGAAATTTGTTACGTTTCTATAGAAAACCTTAAAGAAACTTTTCGACAATTTGATAGAGACCTCCCTAAAGATAAATCTGGATTGAAGAAATTTTCTTAAAAACCCCATTAGAAATCCCCATTAGAAATTTTGAGTTGGATCCATCGTTCCTCGAAATGGGGGTTGAAATGTATTATGTTATCAAAAATCTCTAAACCTTCCCCATATAGTTTTATTCGTTGAAGTTTTTAAAAATAACAGCGACTATAGTTTCGGCGTACTGCCATCATCAGGCAACTAGAAGTGTATCACAATATAGCAAATTTGAAAACATTAAGAGCTAGTACTTACTGTGAAAGTTAACAGGAAAACGGTAAATTACAAACGTTGAAGACGAATAAGACGAACATGTTGTTAAACAACATGTCTTCAACGTTTGTAATTTACCGTTTTCCTGTTAACTTTCACAGTAAGTACTAGCTCTTAATGTTTTCAAATTTGCTATATTGTGATACACTTCTAGTCGCCTGATGATGGCAGTACGCCGAAACTATAGTCGCTGTTATTTTTAAAAACTTCAACGAATAAAACTATAAGGGGAAGGTTTAGAGATTTTTGATAACATAATACATCCCCATTAGAATCCGATATAATCCATTCTAAAAACGTTCTGGTTCTAAAAATCTTTCAGCAAACTTCTCTTGGGAAAAGGGTTTTAAAAACCGTAGAAATTTCTCCATGACGTCTTTGTGTTTTCCAATCAAAGATTGTTCGTGTGTTTACAGTTTTAATCTACTTATCGATCGTAGTACCTATTGTTTGGAAATCGATCTCCTCATTCAGGGAAATAAACACTCAACGATAATACATCCTTTATCGAAACATGACATTTATTGCGTACTTAATTTATTAGTGAACTTGCGTGAAAAGTACCCCAAAATAACAAATTCTCATAATAGCATAGTTACCCTTCATAATATCATAGTTACCATAATACAAGAGTTCTAATATTAACGTAACCTGTATGGAAGAAAGCGGCTAAGCTATTGGGTTCAGGTACTTATCAACTTGTCTATTGAGACTTAAAAGCGCGTTTTTATTTATTAGCATGACCGTTTATATCTACAGATTGGCCTCTGGACACTTCTATTTGAAAAAAAAAGCAATCAGGACACTACATTTGTTAATTTTCATTTTTTCTTTTATATCCAAACAAGTCCGCAGCATGGAGTAGTGAGTCCATAACGTAGATGGTGCATATTTTTCCGCCTACAATGTTGTAACAATACAGGTATAAGAAGGAACAGATCGAAAAGGAAAGTTCCAAATTAAGTACTCACCTTGGTCTTAAAGTACGCAAGCAAAATAGGTTCTGAAGCTCCTTTTGCTCCACGCGCCTCACGCCAGGTACAGAACTCACGGTACTCTTTTTCGTATAATTCTCGGGACTGAATTGGCAATAGATTTAAAGAAACTTCTTCCGCTTCTAATAAAATATCTTGGGGAACGATTTCGACGTTATCCATCATAAGAAAAATTTAAGATTTGTTTTGTCGTAACCAAGGAGAAAGTAATAATTTTGTCGTAATGAGGGATACAATTTATCTAGTATGTTTCGATAAAGCTATGTATTTCATTTGGATATTACCCGCCATAATAAACTCGGATGTTGCAACGCAAATTTGTACAGACAAAAGGAGACGTTTATAAAATTATTATTGTCAATGTTACAGTTATTTACACTTTATTAACAAATTTTGACATCTACATTTGGAGAAGGACGCAACAAATTTCCCCAGATTGGCAGTCAGTGGCTTGCGGTTTTCTTAAATTAGCATTGCAGCGCGCTCCTGATTTCAGGCAAATTCCTCCAAAATGGTGGCAACGAAATTCGTTTCGCAGTTCTGAAAATAGGCACGTTAGCCACTCGTAAATAATTACAAGGAAACTTACGTCCACGGCAGCATACGGCGCCCTTATCTTTCTGCATTGGGCACAGGTTTTCGTCCGATTTTGATGAAGCGCACTGCTTTTCCCCAACACATTGCCCTCCCACTTTGTTACACGGGCCTTCGGGCTTAAAATCTTCACTTGCTACAAAAAACCACCCTCCAAATTAGATGACAATGTATATGCATGACTCACCCAAAATCAACATTGGAAGCAGGCAAGCTATGAGCACAGCGTACGTGGACATCATAACAAATAATGTCTCTGGTCTTATCGTCCAAGTTTTTGATCGTGTCAGTACCTTATCATCATTATCTGTTTATCCTAAATCTGCGCATTACATTTCTAGGAACGTTTTTCCTCCACTTCCATCAATTCCAATTTTATGCTATTTTGATCCTAGAAGTGGATGATCTGGTTTACAGATTTACTCTATTTAATTTTACATTGTTAAGGAGTAATTAAGGGTAGAAGGTCACAGTAGTAGTTTACTTCATCAATTCTAAATGTGACCAATCAAAAGCAATACAGTACAAATGCAAGTGCTTTACGAAGAAAATACATTACAAGAGCATCTTCAAATTGACTAATTTTAAAGATATGTAGGTAACAATTAATGTTTGGGGAAGCGAAAGCAAAAGGGTTACGAAAACAAAGAAAGGTGACTAACGGACATTGTGTTATGTTTGATCGGAGCATAACTAATTGATTTAAAATAACTAACGTGATACATACATTGTATATCGTCGTCAACAGTGTCCCTTGGTTTTTTGGACCGCAACTTCAAGGCTTTTAAAGCTTTAAATGCTGGTTTAGTTTTAATCTAAACAAACGTTGGCAGGTGTAAAATCCAAACCCAGTAAAGAAAGAATATGAAAAGTTGTTTCCATGGATGAATAGGAAGTTACGAATAAAGTCTTAAATACAACGATAATGCTGGAATATATGATGGAAATGTCAAAGGCATTTAAATCTTATATCTTTTGGTGCATTCATTCAAAACTTCAAACAATACTGCGATTAAAAAGTGGAACAGATTTGGAAGCAATATCCTAAATTACACGCGATTGTGAAAGCTAAGGTATAATAAAAAAAGGTAGTGGTATTAATTCTCATGCAATAGTCTTTCCTAGTTATAACTCCTATATTGAACAATGTGGTTCACATTATATCTAGCTACATAACATGCAGAGAAAGGTATAAATGATACTACAATGAAATAAATCAACAATCATTTATTAAAAATTTTTTCTTGAGGTACAATCACTTCTCGAGGAACAATTTGTAATAATTTCACATATGCCTGCTCCATTTCTTGTTCTTGACTAGATTCTAATACTATTCTAACTTTGTAGTACCTACAAAAAAATCATCAATCAGTATGCAGCCGCATATAAAACCGGACCTATTAAACAATTCAGGGTATGAACCAATAAGAACACCAGGGTACTCAGCTACCACCAAACTTAGTGCATTTGCAATCTTCTCTTCGGTAACATTAAAATACACATTCCTTGTATAAAATTGATTTGTAGTCTCAAAAAGTTGCCCACTTAATTTATCAAACAACCTCTCGCACAGTTGAGGAATACCCGGAAACATGTAGACATTCCTGACTGATACATTTGGATAGTGGGTCCTTAGTTCACCATCTTCTTGTGCAAATGTGAGTTTGGACGATTTGGGTACCTAAAACAGGTCGTCCACTGAATGCAACTAAAAGCAGAACATACACGAGCCAATTTCATCCCCGGGGACTCAGGATCAGTAGTACCATAAAACTGTGCACATATCTTGACTAGTTCTGGGTGTAAAATGACAGGCTCATTGAATGCTTCTGCAACACTTTCAAATGTGACATCATCATGTGTGGGACCTATTCCTCCAGTTGTAATAACATAGTCATACCTCAAAGAAAAATTCTTCACTTCCTCACTGATCTCGTCCTTATTGTCACCTGTAACTGTTATCTGCAAGTGTTTCCTCTTTGGTACTACACCAATTCATTATTTCACACTTACCTTTTCCACTTTTAAGCCTAATTGGTGTAAGCGCTTTGTGATGTAATGCGAATTACTGTCGACGACTTGGCCCTTCAGTATTTCATCACCAATTACTGCAATTCCAATGTCATTTGGGTAGAACCTTTTTAGACGATTTACCTAAAAGTCCTACAGTTTTTACAGCTGAAGTGCTAGAACTAAACATGATCTTGTGCAGATTGTAAAGTAGTATACTGTTGACATGAACTAATTTTGCCATTTATAATAATTTGCATAATGATGATTAAATAAAAAATATAAATAATAACCTAACCACAATTAACATAGTTCTGACATCTAACTCTAACGTTACTGTAGTGAAATGGAAAATTTCTGTTGCCATGGGTAGCGACATCTGTCGCAACTGAAATAAAATGAAAGATAAAATATGAGCATTCAGTTCAGTTTATATACGAAAGATAGCAGACCGATACCTTTAAATGTTCACGCCAAAATTCAATTTCAATTTCACCTCTAGTTTTACGGTCTTCAGTAGTCAGTACTTCCTCCTTTGGAGCCACTTCATGAAGAGCAGCCCAAAGTGCACTTTTCACAATTCCAGCAAGTCGTTTCCAGCTTCCACACATGTGGGGACTGGCTGGAGAAATAAATGACTTTTTAGTCCTCCCCATAGTCGCAGCACGCGAGATCCTGTCCTTATCCAACTCAAGAAGAGCTCCTCCGAAACTCCTATTATCACTCATAAGCTTCTTGGGCGCACCTCGTCTCGCCATGAATCCTTTCAAAGCAATCTTCCTGCTCCCAATGAACAGCACGAAGGGAAAGTCTTAGAAGCAAGATTTCATAGCGTTTCTCCCTTGACCTTCCAACAGTTACATACAATGGTCGCTCCTCTCCTTTGACATCCCATCACATCTCTTCCACAAAGTTCGAATATGACGACGCGCCCGGAGAACCCAAAACTTTGAACGCAAACCATTGAGAACACGTTCTACTCCTGTGTATCCCACTCGCTCATGATGGTTTTGAAGGCGTTGTGTCAAAAAGTGTTCAGGATCCAGTATCATTGGGAATTTCACCCCTTTCTCAATGTCAGGTGCGTCTTTGAACTCTCATCAATCCCTTTCATCATCCAAATATGCTAGGAAATAAGGATTGAGCTGACCAAGAGCACTTTTGAGTGGAATTTCCAATTTCTGTTTCAAAGCCTGGTACTCATTAAATCATTAGCTAAAAATAACCTTGTATCGGCTTGTATCCGATCTGAGCTAACAAAGTACGTACAGTCCATGAATCGGTCCAGAAATGCGTATAGTTGAATCTTAACTCCATTTGCTCCTTAATCGTAATGGCAAACGACTCTCCATGACTACTTCTTGCAGCTCCAAGCGTGGTATTGTCCACGGTTTCACAGGAGCAATCCTCGTTTCAGATGAGCACTCGTACATGCTTAAACAGATCCTCCTATATTCGTTTCCTACCCGCTACATCCTCAGGTAGCTTGCTGAACTTCAGAAAGAGAATGTTAATACATCTTCCCCTAGTTTCCAAAATAATCCAAATTCCAATTTATACTTCCAGCCAGCTCAGGTAAATAATAGAGAATAATTAGGTAAATTTTGATCTTCACAGGTACTTGGTTAATTTCAACAGATAGTAATCAGAATTTGGGCAAGATATTACTACGGAAATTGATACCTACTCTAATACGCAATTGTCATCATTCGGTGTGCGTTTGAATTCCAGAACCTTTTGTTCCTGTTAGTAAAGATTATTCTTGGTAATAACTTTTTTTTTTAATTTTTATGGCATATTTACAATCTGTTTCAGATGAACAATAAGTAAATTTTGTAATAAATAGCGCACTAAATTAACTACGACATGCCGAGAGCAATCCATTGAAAACCCTCTTACTTATAAATTAATTTTGTTTGATTATTGTAAGTATTCCAATTTTCATGTTGATCAAAGTACGTACATAAATAATTAATCGAACCTGTTTGCCTATAAATGAATAAATAAGTTGTCTATAAGCTGAGTGGCTAGGATGTTAGGATGCACAGAGAGCAGAGCTGGACAGAATACTTTCAAAAAGTATTTGAATACTAAATACTTTTACGTCCAGCACAAGCGAATACTAGATACAGATACATTGAAAAGTATTCAAATACTTAAAAAATCAAGTTATACTTTGTATGGGGTTAGCTTTTTTCAATTTCTATTGTTATATACAAATTTAAGGAGAGTAAAAGCGTATTATTATTATTATATTATTATATAGGAGGTACCTACCAGGACCTTTCTTATACCAGTTATATCCTTAAGAATACGTGTACCAGTTTTTAAAGCGTCGTGCACATGATAGGTACGCCTTTCTGAAATTAATCCTAGCGATCCATTTTTGACCATCCGTTTGTCCGTGTGCATGATAGTTTGTTTAGAAACGTGCGATCGCTTTGAAAATTGGTACACATGGTTTTTAGGATATAAGAAAGGTCCCTATCGTTTTTAAGTTAAGTAGACTATCGAGTCAAAAAGTTTCACTCCAGGATCGTTCGGTATTCAGTTGTATCGGATTTTTATATTTGATTTTGTCACAATGGAAACTTCCCCTAAACATTTCTAAATTGTTCTCAAATATACACTTTAGTACTGCATTTTTTTTGAGGCCCGAAAAAAAAATTGTCTCAGATTGACCCGGAAAAAAATTTTCTTATAGAATGTGGCCTGTAGAATCCATAATTTCAAACATTTCCAAGATTGGGCTACTAGTTCAAAAGTTACAGCTCTTTGGATTTTCTTTTGAAATTGGTTTTTAGTCCATAACTTTTGATTGAGAAGTCTAATCGAAAAAGTACGAATTGTTTTGGATTCTACGCACCAAAATGGATTTGAATACTAAAAAGTATTTACAAAATCGAATATACTGCCCAGCTCCAGCTTTGACAGAGAGTCTGTTTTGATTGCCTTTTTAAAAACAGTTCAAAATCAACAGTCTTACATTACGTTTAATCTTTAATTATTGTTACATTAAATGTACAATTTGTGCTGTTGTTTCCTATAGAAGGAACACGTTCTTCATTTAAACCTGAAGCAATAGAGATCAATGTGTTTGAAGATGTGCTTTCGTTTTTCTTAATACATTCCAATTATAATTTTGTTCTGTAAAGAATCTTCGACATACCATTCGGCCACCTGCGAATACCTCGCTCATAAAGTCATAACGGAAGTGCTAAGCTAGCAAACTACATCACACATGCACAATTTTATAAAATTGTTAATTTCAATGTTGACAAATAAACTGGTTACCTATACAGGGTGTTTTTTTGGGAGCTTTAGTTAAAAGTTTCTGGGAAAGTAAAATAGGTAGGTTTTTGAAAATTTGTACTTAGGAGTTACTCTGAAGGCCGAATCGATGTAAAATATTTTCAAAATGGCCGCACTTCCGGAAACACCGGAAGTAGATAGTAACTTCGTTATTTTAAATGGCAACCCCTATTTTTTATTGCTTTTTTGGATTCTACGTGAAATTTCACTTCTTTTGATACCCATATGTCGATATCTACCATTTATGGTTTTTAAGTTATTTTGACTTTAAGAAAAAAAATGGCGGATGCAGATGGTACCTTGATAATTGATTACTTGCAAACGGTTGTAGTCATGGCAACCTATTTTTATCAGTGCATAGAGAATGAATAGGGCTTTCTTTTAGTGCACTTAAAAAAAAGTTAAGTTGCGTACGACCGCCCCTATGGATATCCAAATTTATGAAACTTCAAAGACTAAAAACTCAGTTTTTTTTAATGGAATGACCATGTTCTTACTATTCCATGAGATAGAGAATCGAAATGGGCATATTTTGACAATACATGTTCCTATAGCTATCTTTAACAGTTTCTGACTTATTCCCATTTTATTGAATTGACACTATTTTTTTTGGATTTTCTAGTAGTCGGCCATGATTCTATAACAATTGAATTTTAAACAAATCTAGTGACACTAATCCATCACCCACTGTTATAGGTTAACATAAGTTTTTCAAAAATCGAAAAATGACTCGCAGTGGTTTCACCTATTTTGGAATTTAATTGTTATTTATGGTGAAATGGGCAGAATCGCGGCGCGTGCTTTCCGTACATTCATTCGAAAACTAGAACGAAATTGTATGAATTTTTGAAATTTTGTACCCCTAATGCACTACAAACCGTTGAAGCACAAGTTATACAAAGCTCTACAAGAGAATATTTAAGAAAATGAATTGAATTGCAAATGCAAGATTAACAAAATAAATTAAATGCAAAATATAAAAAACTTTGTTGAAACATTTTTGGTATGGAATTGTTGCTAGAACAGATATCGCATTACCTCTCTTAATTTCCAGACTTATACGTTGTTTAAGAAATTCAGTTGAACGACTCTGTTTAGATTTTTCAAAAATTTTCTGTCCTATATCCTTATTAAATGAGTTATTTATTAATGAATTATTTAGACTAGAGCTAGAATCAGTGGTATTAAAGAATCCATTCCTTGATTTGTTTAAAATTCGATTGTTATAAAATCATGGCCAACTACTAAAAAGAAAATGCGAAAAAAAAATGGCATCAATTCCGAGATCAATTCAATGAAATGGGAATAAATCAGAAACTGTTAAAGATAGCTATAGGAACATGTAATATCAAAATATGCCAATTTCGATTCTCTATCTCATGCAATATTAAGAACATGGTCATTCCATTTAAAAAAACTGAGTTTATAGACTTTGAAGTTTCTTAAATTTGGATCTCCATAGGTGCGGTTGTACGCAACTTAACTTTGTTTTAAGTACAGTAAAAGAAAGCCCTATTCATTCTCTATGCACTGATAAAAATGGGTTGCCATGACTATAACCTTTTTCAAGTAATCAATTATCAAGGTACCATCTGCATCCGCCATTTTTTTTTCTTAAAGTCAAAATAACTTAAAAACCATAAATGGCAGATATGACATATGGGTATCAAAAGAACTGAAATTTCACGTAGAATCCAAAAATGCAAAAATAGGGGTTGCCATTTAAAATAACGAAGTTACTATCTACTTCCGGTGTTTCCGGAAGTGCGGCCATTTTGAAAATATTTTACATCGATTCGGCCTTCAGAGTAACTCCTAAGTACAAATTTTCAAAATCCTACCTATTTTACTTTCCCAGAAACTTTTAACTAAAGCTCCCAAAAAAACACCCTGTATAGTGATGTACACAATGTTATAAGCACGTCGAACGTTAAGGGTTACCAATCTCAGACAATAATTGGAGTCGTCGCTCCGCTCCTCCTCCAAACAATTGTCTTCGAACGGTAAAAATCCCTTACCGTTCTCCATACTTAATATACTATTACGGGCTTGTTCAGGAAGACTTCATCCATTAAATTAAGCTTTGCCAAACATAATTTCTTTTCATCTTCCAAATTTCTTGTTTTTATAATGATTTCTGCATTAGAAAGTTGCAGACGATTACATATATTAATGTGTTGTAACTAAGCCTCCCAACCAGCGCAAAATAATTGGAGACCTTTTTTTTTATTTTTTTTGCAAATATCATTGCATTTGGTTAGTCAGAAGGAAGGTCTAAAATTTCTTTTAAACCACAGCGAACCATTTTCTCAATCTCATTAAGAAATTCATTCTGCAACATAATTAATGGAGCAGTTTGGATATTGTATGTTAAAGTGGGCCAAATATAGAAATTCAGAATTGTTAACCTTTGAATATCCTTCAGAAAAGGGTGAGAAATAAAATAACGGTATCCAGCTTTGTTCTCAATTTTTTAACGATTACTGGTGGATTAAAGGTAATCTCGTTATTAAAATTGACTAAATATTTTTTTTTTATTTATATATTTAGTATCAGCTGCTTTGGCTATTAGCTATTATTTAATAAGTGTTTATGTTCTCTGTAGTAATTATAGTTTCCTTAAAATACCAGTTCTACTTAGAAATAAATAGTTTCATTTTTGTTCAGGGATTTAATTAATAATCCATTTAAGTTAATCTCTTCTTCAAACAATTTGCCTTTGATAATATTTATAATTTTGGTTTTCTAACATTTAAGTTCAATCCAATTTCACAAAATAGATGAATAGCTGTTTCATATAATGTCATAGCGGATTCTTTTGATTTCCCAATCAATACAGCAAATCCTAAGGCACTAATAGGTGGAGCTTGATCAATAATTTTAAAACCAAGTTGATTTGAAATGCAATCTCATCGAAAATATGATCAACACAAAGATTGTATAGTGTTGGTGACAGTAGAGAACCTTGCATTAGATACTTCTCGTTCTAACTTAATCTTCCTAGTTTTTCCTTTAATTGTTCCAATCTGTGTGGTATTATGTTCTTGTAAATTGAGGATAACTTGGCGTAATTTTATTGTATTAGTTATGATTCGAGAGTAGCTAGTAAATGATTATGGCCAATACTATCATAGGTTTTCTCTATATCAAGATATAATAAGCAACAATCTCTTTTTTGTTTTTTGGCAGTTTGTAAAACAGAATTAATAATCGAAGTATTGATGTGTGTTTCGGGTGATCGGACGAAACCTCTTTCATTAGTATTGAAAGAAACGTAGTTCTTTAATCTTTTGTTAAGAATTCTTTCTAAATATACATTCTCCGTAATAAGGAACGTATACTTATTGGTCGCCAGTTTGTGATTTTCGAACGACCACCACCTTTATCTATAAGAACTGATGCAATTTCAGCCAGTACTTCCAATGTTCTTCCATATTTTAAAACCCTCATCAAAATCTTATCTGGACCGGGAGCTGTATCCACCACGCGAATTTGTTTTCATTGCAGCAAGAACTTCATCATGATTAATTTTGGACTCGTAATCAAAGTTTACCCCCCCCCCCCCTCTTAGGATTAGTTGTGGATATAAGAATGTCTTGTACAATTATTTAGTTTTGAAAAACGTTGCGAAAATTCATTAAAAATTTCTTCTAGTCCTAAATTACATCCTTTTTTTCCCCATCGAGAACTCTACGCACTGCTTATTGTCTTCGATTATAAAATTCGAATTGCAATAAGTCATATTCAAACCTTTCCTTTCGTTTTCTACGGTCAGATTTGGTTTTTCGTTCAGGGTTACTACAATTTTTAAACTTTGAATTTTGAGTAACGATTTTTTTACTTTTACATAACGTAACGTAATATTTTTCATGTGTATAGTAGGGTGAGCTTTAGATTTATATGGAAATCCACTATAGTAATATTTATGAAATTTTTACCACAAAACTTACATGTTTTATTGGATTCATCATTATCAAAACTCGCACTTGAAGATCCAATCTTCCCAAGCGGTGAAGACACAACAATATTTTCCCTTACTAATAACTTTCATGGTAGTACAATTTTTTTTGTAAATGACTTCATGAGTTCCACGAATATGTATATTTATACCTCGTTGATTTCTACAAACCTGGCCACAATAAGGACATTGTGAATTATGTGTTTCCTGTGATGACTTAATACCAGTTGTGGAATTAGTGTTCCTTGGATCGCTTTTAATAAATATTGGTTGGATACCAATAATACCATCTACGTTATCGATACACATTTTCGCTACTTCCTCTTCATGAAGGTAATCGTTTTTCTCTTCAACTTGTGATGTATTTTTAGTTAAAGATCGGGTTTTATGTTTGTTAGATATGTGTATATTAAGACCGAGATTAAGACCCTTTTTTGATGTAAACTTACAATCACAATAATTATGTGCATAGAAAGGAGTTATCAAGGGTTGGCGATATAGGCTGGTGTGCACAATTCAAATTTCTTGTAATTGCAAATGAAAATGTTCTTGGTTCTCCACGGGATCGAATATCAGGGTATATATTTGACGAAACGACAGAAATGTCTCCATCAACGACTGTATTGTAATTTTTTTTATTGCAGCTAGAAAATGTAGAAGGTCCCGCATCTCTCGCATCTTGTGAAGGTAAACCGAACGTTTTTATGTATAGAGGCGTTCTACTCTGCGGGTAATTCTTTAGAAAATAAGGAAAGGAGAAGGAAAACATTGACATTACTTAACTTAAGGTACCTAACATAACATTACTTAAAACCTTGAGCACTTAGGTACATACAAACTCATCGGCGGTATAAAGCATTTTCGCTTAGAATATTTTTTATTGGTCCTTTAAAACCTTTGAGTGTGTGCTGGTTTTTAATTATTGAGATTGGGAGGTGGCTGAATAGTTTAATTAATTAATCGATTAATCTTCGAAGATGCTAAAATAGGAGACTCCTATATTAAATATAGGAGACCTGGTAACCCTATACGCTAATCTTCCTCCTGGTTGTTAAGCAGTATACTTGTCATTTATTGCATACGCTTAGGAGAAAGTTGTTAGTGACAAAATTAACTTCCTGGCGTGCCTTGAATTTGTTATATTATATTCGACAAGACTTGGAGTACTTGGACCATGTGGCTACAGTAATTATTGTGGATGGTTTGATTTTTGTTTGTTTGTTATGGGTTGTATGAGTAGATAATAATAATTTGTTGACAACTGCCGTTCAGGTGGTCATAAAGAGTATCATAGTTCTTATGTAGGTACCTACCTATTTATGATACAATGATACAAATATAATCAATAAAATCTGTTACAAATTATTATATACCATTATGCGTGATGTTTACTCCAAATTTGATGCATTCGTAATCAAGAAGTATAGGTACAGTACAGATTCAATTAAATTACTTATCAATTGTGTATAAAATAGTTATCTCTACCAATCGCATGGAAGTCCATTTTAAAATAAAACTAATTGGAGGTAAAATAAAATTGCTATCAGCTTTTTTGTAGTTTATTTACACGATTTTTACATACGATATCATGCTTATCTTCGCCTTTTCCATTCAAAGGTATGCTCGCCCATTTTGATGACCAGTTGAACTTATCCTGAATTCTTTCATTTTAAGTGTCGGGTCACTTTAAGACTTGATATCATCCAGTTCAGGGATCCTTGCAGTTTCTAATGCATTCACTAGAATCGGTGTCCGTTACAAGGCATTAAAATAGTATGGACCTATTATGCGACTAAGGGATAAACTGCCTATGTATAATCGACTTGGTACCAAGGATATTCTTGCGACCTAACGAGAGCTGCTTCTCCTCAATCCAAAGACAACTTGTAAAATAATTCTCTTTGGTTTGAATTTTTCTCCGATACCTCTTGACGAAGAGGGCAGTCAAAGAGGTTCTGCTTACAGTTTGAGTTTGAGCATTATACTGCCAAAACCCATAGAAATACAAATTCCATGGATTCCACAGTGACCAAAGCAGCGTAATTGAGAAATGCTTGACCCGAAACAGAGCAAGACTGTGAAGGTGAAGAACAGCATGGTGGTTGCAGTCAAAAGTTGCTATTCGAAAAGACGAAAACCTAGAGCCCCAATGAATGTATGTCCAGATGTCCTAATTCCTATTCATTTTCCGTTCTTCGTTCAGTTTGAATATATACAGTGATGCTAATTTTGAATCCAACAACAGTAAATGGGTAAATAATTCAATACTTTCCATTTATTTCCCATTAAAGAATGATGAGTTCGCAGTAATGGAAATTCCTGATGAGAATTATTCCAGAATACGACCCCCAGGAGTAAGAAAATGTACAACTTTTATACTTCGACCTAGTTTTAGAACTTTCATTGCCAAAATTTTAGAAACGCTTGCTTTTTTGTAGATAAATATCTCGAAAAATGTCGCAGTTTATGTATTGGGAAAGTTGGACATGTCCTGTCGTTTCGGAAAACTTTGTTCCTTCATAACTTCCAAGTTTAGATGAATAATTAGTTTTCATCAGATAACTTGAACAGTAGCAACGTTGAGTTTTCTTTACTTAGTGTAGCGGAAGACCAACAGATGACGGTATCAATATTACAGAACGCAATTATTAAACATTTACGATAAAAAGAGCGGAATCATCAAAATTAAATGTAGGAAAATGCCATTCTCATTTGGAAAACTACACCGCCCGCAATTTCCTCGGGTAATTCGCATTTGTAGGACAATGTTAAATTGCAAGTTCGATTAGACAAACTGCCGATGCCTATTTTATTTCCATGCGTTCCACCCGCATGCGTCGTGTTCATTATATTGTGTTTTTGTTATTTTGATTTCTGGTGTTCCTTATTAAATTGATTTTATTCATTGGACGAGACCGTGGAGAAAAAGCTCTCAGAGTTGGGTACGTTTAGTCATATTTATTTCATTTTCGTATACGTGCACAGCTCATGTTTAATAAGGAAAGTTGTAATCCTAACCTAAGAATTTGCACGGCGCTGTTAGGGGTTGTTTCTTTGTTGGATCGCTATTTTTATATTGCAGTTGCATTTTAACGTTTGCGTTGCGTTGTCATTGTGTCTTACTTGTAGAACACCACTGCGAAACCTCTCCGTTTGCACTCATTTGATCGTTGAAAGTAAACTGTAAATGTTAATAGATACACTGTACATACAGGATTGTTCGTTAGTCGCTGCACCAAGTAAAATGAGTAGCTGTTGAGAATCCTTTGGATTTCGGTTGTGTATAAAATAAACAAAGCTTATTTTTAGCATTTGAAGGCTTGTACCTTTTGCGTGTATTATACCCGCAGGACAGCATTGGTGGTTCGTCATCAAAAAAAATTATCTTATGTTCTAAATCTATTCCTACTTGTAAAGAGCTATACCTCTCTAGTAAGTGGTAACAATAAAATTGTATCGGAAATACATAAACCGTCAGGATTTTTGAATAAAAGGCATGCAATTGGATTCGCGTTGCTGAACATTCTTTTCAAAACGGCCACAACATTGTCTTTCAAGAACCTAAGTCTCTAACCCATTCGCCCTTCTTTTACCAAAGAAAAAAACAGCGAGGGCATTCAAACACCCAAACAATTTCAACCGGGACGAGGGATGGTCACTTTATCTCAGTGGCTGATGTGTTCTTCTATTTCTCCTGACCGAATAGGTTTAATTTGAGGGGTGCTCGAAGGGGTGAGACAGGGCTAAAAATTGGTACAGTTATTTATAAATACCCTTCGATAGTTATTGTGTTTAATTGTCGATTTAATTTGTATTTATAGGTATTTATAAATATTTATTGTGTTTGTGGGATTTAAATGTATTTAAGTATATTTAAACGGATTTATAGTTATTTCGTTTATTACTTTTTACTTTTATATTTCTTATTGGATTTTTACGCAATGAGATAAAGAACAAAAAAGGATCATTTGAAAGCATCGCCCTCATAGTCATGTTAGATTCAGTTAGATTTAGTTAATCGTGGATTTTTGTGGAGAAATGAATGTAACGCTAAAAATCCAATATGGGGACCATAAGAAATAAGGAAGCAGTACCCTGTAGCTTCAACATTTAGTATGTTATCGAAATTCTGATAACAGATTCAGATTCTCCGAAAAAAGTGCCTATATAAGGTGCTAATGAGAACCGCCAATTTCGATCGTTTAAGCTATAGGGAAAATGAAAACGAAATTTGACATTTTCAGCTTTTGGTGGTATGTCTGTTATTTTGAAAGATTGAAAAATGAAACCTTTAACCTTTAGAGAGGTCCCAATGATGAGCTACTAATTTGAACCACCCTGTACAGAGTTATTGAATACAAAAGTGTAGTACTTACACTTAGGTACTTAAAAGTTTCTTTTAGACTCAAAATAGCAATTGTGAAGGTATATTATACAGGTATAATAAGTATGTGTAATGGTTTTGTCCGTCGGTCTGAACGAAGAAAGACAGCGACGTCAAACCTTAGGTTTCTTCTCCTCTTGATAAATTTCAGAATTACTATTTTTTACTGAGAGGCCAATTTTGAACTGCGGCCTTTCCCAATTTGCACAATTCACAAATTTCATTTTGCACTCGTAACAGTTCTATAACAGTTCTAGTTTGTAGTCATTTGTTCCGTTTATTTACCTGAAATAATTACATTCTAACTTCTAAGGAATGGGGTGGCAAATTTGCAGATCACTTCATTTCTAAAAACTCCTATATCAAATAGTTTTTAGTTCTACATAGATTTTAAAATAAATATCGCAACCCAATCATTGAAAATTGTCCGAAATTTATAATTTAAAAAATGCGAATTTTCAACCTAAATAGTACGATGCAACCCATAGCATTTTTGCGCACGTAGTTCCATTTTTTACCACAATGAAAAATAAATTAGTGTTTTAGCATAACATTTAGTCCTGGTTGGTTGTTCATCAGAGCTTACTAAGACAGTGTGTTTTGTCGTTTCTTCGGTGAATTTGGTAAATAAATGTTCAATTATTAACAATATATTTGGGAATATTGCAGATCTTTAGGCGAGTGTACAACAAAAATTCCGATTTTTATTTATGTAAATAAAAGAAATCCCTTTCGACACGGCCAGGCCAGTGTAGGTAGATTTATTTTCTCCATCTTTTTCCAATATGGCGGAATTGGCTATTTCACGAACTTGACCGAGGTATTTATGAGTTACACCAAACTCTTTCTTGTAAGTTATATATTCCGAGTGAGTTTTTTCCGAGGTTTAGTATGGGGATCTCGTAAACCGTAACAGATACAAAGTCGCTTAAATGAGCAAAGAATTTCAGAATCCCTTTCAGAGTTTCTAACTGTACAAATAACGAAGTTATGGTAAAAAAATCGAAAAATGTCTTTTAGAAAATGTGCTGGCGTTCATTTATTCTCAAAGATTAATAAGAAAACTTTTTCTTATTAAGTTTGGTGCGTAGAATCTGAAACAATTCGTACTTTTTCGATTAGACTTCTCAATCAAAAGTTATAGACTAGAAACCAATTTCGAAAGAAACTTCAAAGGGCTGTAACTTTTGAACTAGTAGCCCAATTTTGGAACTGTTTGAAATTATGGATTCTACAGGCCACAGTCTATAAGAAAATTTTTTTCGGGTCGATCTGAGACAATTTTTTTAGAGCCAAAAATCGACTACACCAAAATTTCTCGGGAAAACATTTTTTCTTTTTAATTTTGGTGCGTAGAATCCAAAACAATTCGTACTTTTTCGATTAGACTTCTCAATCAAAAGTTATAGACTAGAAACCAATTTCGACAGAAAATTCAAAGGGCTGTAACTTTTGAACTAGTAGCCCAATCTTGGAACTGTTTGAAATTATGGATTCTACAGGCCACATTCTATAAGAAATTTTTTTTCCGGATCGATCTGAGACAATTTTTTTTTCGGGCCTCAAAAAAAGGCAGTGTATAAACCTTCCTTTTTTACCAAAAATCGACTGCACCAAAATTTCTCGGGAAAACACTTTTTCTTATTAATTTTGGTGCGTAGAATCCCAAACAATTCGTACTTTTTCGATCAGACTTCTCAATCAAAAGTTATAGACTAGAAACCAATTTCGAAAGAAACTTCAAAGGGCTGTAACTTTTGAACTAGTAGCCCAATCTTGGAACTGTTTGAAATTATGGATTCTACAGGCCACAGTCTATTAGAAAATTTTTTTCCGGGTCGATCTGAGACAATTTTTTTAGAGCCAAAAAAAAAAAAAATCGACTACACCTAAATTTCTCGGGAAAACATTTTTTCTTTTTAATTTTGGTGCGTAGAATCCAAAACAATTCGTACTTTTTCGATCAGACTTCTCAATCAAAAGTTATAGACTAGAAACCAATTTCGAAAGAAACTTCAAAGGGCTGTAACGTTTGAACTAGTAGCCCAATCTTGGAACTGTTTGAAATTATGGATTCTACAGGCCACATTCTACAAGAACATTTTTTTTCCGGGTCGATCTGAGACAATTTTTTTTCGGTTCTCAAAAAAAGGCAGTGTATAAGCTTCCTTTTTTACCACCAATCGACTACACCAAAATTTCTCGGGAAAACACTTTTTCTTATTAATTTTGGTGCGTGGAATCCAAAACAATTCGTACTTTTTCGATTAGACTTCTCAATCAAAAGGTATAGACTAAATTTTTTGACACTCAGCTCGCATTCGGAAACACAACATCGCTGTCTCTTTTCGTTCTCGAGTTAGACCAGGAACAGAGGGACGGACGGACAACACCATCACATAAGGGGAATTTTTCAAAAGAAAAAAAATTAAAAACATTAATATGATTAATATGATTATTCCTGGTTTTTAATTTCTTGCGCATTTTTTCAATATGAATTTTATAACGGGCGGTCAAAAATGAATTGCTTTCGAGTCGCCTTTGGAAGTTTAAGTTAAGTACGATTTTCCAGGTAAACAAAAATTCCAAAGGTAAAGGTGGAAACAAGATACTTTGCTCTTGTTGGGGTTGGGATAACGCCATTTTTTCTAAAGAAAAATAATTCCCCTTATGTGATGGTTTTGTCCGTGTGTCCGTCTGTCAGTTCCCCGTCTAACTCAAGAACGAAAAGAGACAGCGATGTCAAACCTTCGCCAATCTACTTCTATGAGTTCAGGGATCAGTGGTATTCAATATGAGTCGGATAAAAGTCTGGTTTCCGAATACGAGCGGAGCAAAAAATTCCCCTCCTGAAAATCGTATGCGATTCTTCGTATTTTGGTAATATATGCAACCGAATTTTGAGAACTTCATTGAGTAATTTACGTACATAAACTTTCGTTGCTAAATCAGAGATATGTGTATACATTGAAAAGTAATGGTGCAAGTACGGAGCCTTGTGGTAAACCATTGTTTAGACATTTAAAACTGCTACTTCTGTTTCCAATAAAAACAAGTTTAAATTGACGATTGGAGAGCATCAATGAGAACTATCATCTTGTTACATGGAATTTATTTATAAAGTTTATGTATGACGCTTCTTTCCAAATTGTATCCTAAGCGGCAATCAAACCAATTTTTTTCTGAAATTCTGCCTCGATGTGAGTAGTTACTGGTAGAACTTGATCACAACAATTACGTCTAAGTCGAAATCCGGCTTGCTCTTTGGGAAGAGCAGTGTCAATTATGGGGGGATATTTTTTGATATATCAATCTTTCTAGAGCTTTGCATGTTCCCCCACACCCAGGCCTTACATAGAAATTGGCCGATAATTTGCTGGATCATGTGGGTCTCTTCCTGGTTTTAGAACATCTATAATCTTGGCTTGTTTGAATATTGCTTGGTAAGGAAATCAGTAGTTAAGATGTTCTATAGAATTGAACTACCCAATTTCCTAAATGTTTTAAAAATTCTGCATCAAAACCAGCCGCTTTTCAATTCCTAGTTGATTTTAGTGGCCATCTAAGGTAAATGGTGCATCAATTTCTTCATTTACAGCCGCAGTTTTTCGTTGTTCTTGTAAAATCATTTTCATTTTGTTTTATTTATTGAATATGCACAATATTTCAATTTCGTTGTAAACGGAAAGCTATATAAATATTAGAAGGTCGAAGCTCGAAGAATAATATAAAATTAATAAGACATCAAATCGTTCTTTATTATTATCCAGGTAAGAGAGGCCGCTTCATATGTAATATGAACTCGCATTTTCATGGCAACAAGTATTTTATATCGAGAATGAGATTTTCCCATTCTTCTCAAAATTAAAAGGAATTTTCCAACTGCTGTGCTTTTGAAAAAGTAATATGGAATAAGGTGCAAATTTCAATGATTGGGCAACACAACGCACCCTTCAAAATAACCACTTTATCTGCTTGTATGCAGTTCATTGGATTGCATCATGTTCTTTAGAGAATTTTGAACTAAAAACTATCCCGTTCTCTGTACAATGTGTATTTAACATATTTAACTAACCACCATTTCTTTCCAGGTGCAACAGCGGTTGACAAGGTGAGTTTTTCCATTTGGGTTTGTAATTTTTAATTTTTATTCCTTGTATGTTAGTCGATCATTTTTACGTACAAAAAATCGTTTCATATTAGACAATTTAAAATCCTAGATATCAGTAGACCCGAATATTAGAAATAGAGAATGGGTCTCTAAATAATTTCCAAAGTCACGAACCATGAATGGATTGTTGATTGTAAATTATTATTTATTACCAAAGAAAACGTAACCTTGTTTTTAAAACTAATTCGCAAAATTTTTTAATAATAATAACCAGGTACCAAGCAGTCGAGTTCGGACCGTGCACACGTGGATTCAGAAAATACAACACACAAAATAAATATTTACCTGGTAAATACGTAACCATATTCAAATTTGTGGGCCAAATACTTTTGCCAAAATTCAAATTCAACACACAACGCAAATATTTATCAATGTGGACCCGCCTTTACACTTACATCATATACCGTGTGTCCCAGGGAGAACTCTCTTTGGTGAAATGGAATTAATTTATTTTTTTGCGAAGGTTTCACGAGATCTTTGAGTAAGTTAGCGTTCAACGTACATTATTGCACTTGCCTGATGCTAGAAAGAGATTGGAGCGAAATTTCGCGAAAAAATACATTGCCGTTTCCCTATTCCCACTGTATACCTACACATGAGCGTGACAGAGACTGTAAAATTTGTCGAAATAGAAGCATTGATCTACAACAAAAATCAACCCTTCCATTTAATTAATACTTTAATCACAAAAATAACAAGTTAAATTATTGTAACTGCTCGAATACTACACTTACATAGACCAACATCTCCCGTTTCCTTGAATATCCACTAAATAATGAATCGTTAGTTCCCGTAGGAATAAATTTCATTTGTTCGGGAATGCTTTCATTTTTCTTGAAGTGGACCTACGAGAGTTACTTGATACAGATTAAAAGAGATTGGCTTGCAATGTTATTTCGTATGGATTCGTCTTTACTTGATTTATTTATAAAGTTTTCTAATATTCCTGTTTTCTTAATTCGTTAGAACGTCGTCTGTTGCAAATTGCTTATAAAAATAACAGCGTTTCCTTCTTTACGATTATGATAATTTTGTTATCACTTGCACTTGAACTGAGAACGTAGCTCGTAGTCACCGTTTTTTAGAGCTGATGCAAGTTAATTATTTGAGGGTGAGAAATTGCACAATCAATAACTCTCCTGTAAATTCGCCATTTTGACGTTTAAAAATTTATGTGCTTTTCCCACAATTTTTATTTGTGCAGTGTGATTAATCCACACGGGCGTCTTTGATCCGTCAAACTATCTTAGGGAATTCATATCTCGGAGTGCAATTATTATGAAATGTTGCATTATGGTCAAGAGTGTAAAGCAGCATGTAACATATGAAACGTTCAAAATGCTCGACTATTTTTCACTTGCACGAATTTGCAATTATAATAAAATTACAACTCAGAGGATTTGTTACGGATAAAGAGGGTATAACGCAGTGTAATTTAGTTGCGTTATTCTATTTTGATTTGTTCATTTCTGGTCGAGGACTATTAAATTCAGTAAATTACAAAGAAGAAATTTATTATTTATAAGAAGCTTTTATCCGTTTATATCGCCAGCAGTAACTTAATACAAATTAAACTAACGGACCAAATAATCCCATAAGACACCATCTAATCAATTTCAGTTTGTTCATTGCTTTCATAAATATTTCATTAAGCCCATTTTAAATTATCCCTCAATTTATGCAAAGATGGAGGGTTGTTTATAAAAGCATCAACTTTGTTATTTTAATGCAATTATTTTGGGGTAAAATTGCAACTCAATATAATATTGAGTGAGTAGTATATTTTACGTTACGTTACCATCCAATAACATTCAGATAATTTTTCACACACTTATTTATTAGAAATATACGTGAAGCCGGTTTGACAGTTATGGAAGGGTTGTGTTATTGTATACGACTGGAAGCATGCAAATGAGAGAGTAAGGGTAACCGCCATGTCGAAACAGTTTGTTTCCGATACAAGTGATTGACAAATGTTCCCAATCACTTATTATCGCGAGTAAACTTTAACGTAATTTCCTTGTTATGTTAATGACGTTTGTAATTACATGCGAAATGAAAAAATCATAATCTTCCAGTCGTTGGCCATCGACGCTTGCAGACCATAAAAGGTAATTCAACATACCTAGTTCCAGTAGGTTCGCTTATTTTTATTTCAATTTTCGAATTGTTTCTTTGTCGAATTCATTCAGGGGTTGATTTATACTACCGCTGATAATGTTTTCGATTGCATTGTCACAAATCAAAGAGACATTATGTCTTGAATTAAAATGTTGTATATAAATCAGATGCTATTGTTTGAACCAGTATGTAGATTATTGCCGAGAAACGGTAGCAACCTTGAGAGGAACAAGAAATCTTTCTTAAAACTATAATGTAATGGGATCTTTGTGCAAAACATTTTCTTTTGGAAAAATTTTTCATGTTAATTGCTTTCCTTTTTTCCATTCCATTTCTATATATTGTTAATGAATATATTAATAAAAATATAAAGCAGATTAGGTAATTTCACGTCCCAATATTTTTGCGCCAAAATATTGAAGATTTAGATCTTCAGTGGACAACTTTTCAGGAAATATTAACCCTAGTTTACTGGCCACTAAAACTTTCAAGTTTACGGGCGTGGGGTGGAACGAACCCCAGATAGAAAAGACTAAACTTGGAAGGTACTCGAGCTCCCAGGCCAAAATATTGAAAGAAAAAAACTTATGGACATTGAAAGTGGCTGTGGGGTGCGATCCACCCCAGACCTGTAAATTAGGGTTAAAATAATAGGGAAGATCAGTGTTAGCGCTGCACAAAGACAGTTTAGCACTTGAGGTGCTTATTATAAACCCCGATAACTCCATGTTTTTTTGAAAAATGTCTTATTACTTCATCTGACCCCATCACAGCAATTGTACGTAGCAATTTAGAGACAGACATTTTCCGAAATTATCGTTAAAGTTTTGTTAACAGTTTCTTGCTTATTTGATAGTTTCTTTACTTTTAAGCCGAGTTTTAAGCCATTACAGAACAAAATTTACCTACGCCGGAAAACAAATTTTAAAATTGGGGATGCTAACCTGAAATCAAACCCGCACCCCCACTTTTCCCGATTAAAATTTTATTAGTTGCATCAGAAAGTCTAAATCTTGGTCTGAATTAACGACTAATTTGTAACAAAGTTGCGTTTTCATTGTTTAAATAATTTATACATTATTTAAACAATATGCACTAAACATTCAATTTAGAGAGAATAGTTATTTACATAGAATTGATTGACGACAACTGTTACACTCCACACGTACTGAATTTTCGACCAACAGACGAATTTGCTTATAGAGGTGAAAGGCAACTAAATTTGAACATAGACCCGCGTGTCTTCTTAAATTCCAGAAGAAAAACAAAATCAAAACAGTCAGCAAACCGGCCTCGAACTTTGGCAAAACAAACTTCTTTTTCTTCCAGCCGAACAGTACCTCAGCTGCGAATAATGACAAGAAGGCTGCTTTAACGGACTGCAACTCGGCCTCGAACTTGTCGGAAGCCCTTTCTCGAAGCGTCCCCCAGTATTTAAACGGACTTCCTTCCTTAGATTATATCCACAATGTGATAGTAACTTGATCAACTAATCACACTTGTCACACGACGCATCTTGTCTCACGTGCGCCGCACTTTGCTTGATCACTTTAAATAAGTTCTCTTCAGTGAATGATATCGACTTTTTTCACGATCCCCTAAATGTAATAATAGATCAAATTAGATCTTAAGCCCGAATGTATGTTCAGAGCCCCAGTGCCACTTAATTGAAATTTTCTTATTCTGTATGGTGTCTGGTTAACCAAATAAACAAATAAACTTTTCTCGGAATTATCTTATCTTAAACTCCATCATCTTCTAGGACAACAACAATGTGTTTACGATTAAAGTCACCTTATCACTAGACAATTACACTAATCTCTTTTAAAATAAACGAAACACCCAATAAATCAAATCGAAACTGTCACAAATGCATTAACCAACAAATTGATAGTGGAAAAATGGAGATAAAAATTTTCCTAACCTTATTATTTCTAGGAATTACTCTTTCTTTTACAAAGAAATAAACAAACAAGACCTTGACTACAAGATAAATTCGCAGAATCGTTTGTTTGTGGATATTGTAGAAATTCCGATAGACATCGAAGCGCCATAAAAGATAAGAAACGAAAGCGGATGTGACGCATTCTTTCCGGGAAGTAGGACGTCGTTGTTAGAGAACATTCTAGAATATTCCGGAGATTTGAGAACTTTCCAGGAAGCGCGGCGTTTGTTATATAACAAATCGAATTGTTTTTTAGTCAGCTCTGCAAAGTGAGTGCTTAACTTAATCCATTGCAAGACTGTTATACATTTATTGTTAGTTAATTGTAAATAAATAAATCACGTAATTAAATTTACGTTACAGTATTTTTATTGCCAGGCTCTATGCTGTAAATTATGGTAATTGAGAATATAAAATAAAGAAAGTCAATTTTTGTTGAACACGCGTTCGTCAGCATCCTCTCAAACTTTTAAAAATCTAAGAAAAGATCTTCTTGGTTGTAACATTTGTTATATTTTTTTCGATCATTTTAAGCAACTTTTAAAGAATAACATTGTTTTTCCGTCTGTACATACGTACGTTGGCAATTTTCGGAGGTAACGGCTCGAGGCATTTTGTTCAAATTTTGGATACCTATGTATATTAGACATTCGGAAAGGAAAAATAACAGGCCGGAAAATGCGCTATTTGTATTTTAGACGTATTCAAACTAAAGCTTCGTAGGGACGGTAACAATTTATTAAAGATATTACCAACAATTTACGGAAACGATTTTTAAAGAATTTGGTGGAATGGTACAGAATAATCCTTTACGTCAATGACTTTAATTATACTTTAAAGGTTGAACCAGATAGGAAGGGGTTTATGTATTTTT